AGACAAAGACACACACAGAGACAGAGAGAGAGAGAGAGAGAGAGAGAGAGACAGAGACAGAGACAGAGACAGAGACAGAGACAGAGACAGAGACAGAGAGAGAGAGAGAGACAGAGACAGAGACAGAGACAGAGACAGAGACAGAGACAGAGACAGAGACAGAGACAGAGACAGAGACAGAGACAGAGACAGAGACAGAGACAGAGAGAGAGAATGAGTTGGTGTGTGTGTACGTGAGTGGATGAATGAGTGGTTAGGGTGAGGGTTAGGGTGAAGGTTGGGGTGAAGGTTGGGGTCAGCATCACTGACCGGTGTCCATCCTCGCAGTGACGAGCCACTGATCATCGGCGACCACAACTTCAACGACAAGCGCGGCGACAACGACATCAGCTACATATCGACGAACCTCGGCTACGAGCCTAGCCACTCCCCCTCGCCCTACAACGCACCAATCACTGACGAGATGTCCGACCGGGACACGCCCACGTCGTCGAATCGCCACTCCATGCAGAGTTCGGGCAGCGGTGGCGGCGGGGGCGGTGATCCGAAATCCCCGATGGAGCTAACGAAGCGAACGACGCAGCAGACACAACAGGTGGGCTGAGCTTCCTCTGTCTATCCTCGTGGCTTCTTCTCTTAACGGCTTCCTTTGTCGCCATCTCTTCTTCTAATAATGGCTTCCTCTCTCCTAGTGGGGCTTGTTTTGTTTTGCTATTTCTGTTGTGCTCCCTCGCTTACTGTCTCGTTTAGTGCTCTCTCTCTTTCTGTTTCTCTCTCTCTCTCTCTTTCTATTCCTCTCTTCCTCTCTCTGTCTCGCTCTCTTTCTCGCACTCTCTTGTTTTGCTCTCCCTCTATGTTGGTGCAGTCTGTCTGTCCCTGACAATCTTGTATGAGTTGATACTTACGAGGCCAGGTGGCAGCACCTGCTTGTGTATGTACGTATGTGTGAAAGGAACCATCGTCAGCTAATTACACATGACACACATAGATGGCAGCACTTGTGTAGCCGCGGGGTGGTAGCTGTTGTAAATCGGAAGATGTGTGAGATTTCATCGACATTTTAATTGACACTTATCGTTAAATGCTGCTATTGTAGAATAATTCTGCATGCCTAGATCTAGGAGATGAGATACGGTTAGCCTTCAGTGGCACGATGTAAAGTATGGAGATGATTCAAAAGGATATATAATGATGCAGATCTTTCTTCTCTCTTCTCTTCTTATCGTAAACTGGTTGTAATGGATGGAGTAGCACTAGTGTCTGTTTTGCTTATCTCTTCCTGTATAAATCGCTCTGTCTATCTGTCAATCTCTTTCTCACTCACCACCACGCGGTTGTTAAAAATTGAAATAATGATAATTGCATCTAGAACTTTTGCTCATTTGTCTGTGCCCGCCGCGTCACTCTACCCGTCCCACAATCTCTCACTCCCCACGCCCGGCGATATTCCATCATTCCACTTGCACGCACTCGTTCGTCCGCACCCCGCCGCGGCGCTCTACCCGTCCCACAATCTCTCATTCCCTATGCCCAGCGAGGTTCCATCACATAATGAATTAAGTAAAGGCAGAGATTCTGTCGCGCCACGCGCACACACTCGTCCGCACCCTGTCGCGTTGTTCTTTCCTTCCCACGATCTCTCACTCCCCACGGCGAGATTCCTTCACGCCACGCATGCACACTCGTTCGTCTGCGGCCGCTGCGTTGCTCTGCCCATCGCACATTCTCTCACCCTCCACGCCCGCCGAGATTCTGATGATGGGGAGTATGATGATGAGGGTGAAGGATGCTTGCTGTGAGGAGGCTGCAGCGATGGAGGAGGCAGTGAAGCCATATACACGTCGTTGATAAGTGAATGGCGATGATGCGGTGATTTATGAGCCGGTAATTACACTCGTTACGACGTCGTGGCCTCGCTGCGGACCACTCCTCCTCCTCCTCCTCCTCCTTTTCCTCCTCCTTCTCCTCCCCCTTCTCCTCCTCCTCTTTTGCCTCCTTCTCTTCCCTTCTCCTTCTCCTTCTCCTCCTCCTCCTCTGCCTTTTTCTCTTCCCCCTCTTCCTCCCCTCCTTCTCTTCCTAATCCTTGTCCTCCTCCCTGTCCTCATTTCTTCTCATTCACCCTCTCACCACTCTCCCACCACCCTCCCACCACCTTCT